ACCTGAATAATTGCCTATGAATCATGATGAGTTTAAGTCATCACTGTTTAAGTCAGGTAGAATGATTCTGATGTTTGATTTTCAAGTGAAACGTATGTAGCAATGTCATGTTCAAATATGTTCAATTGAAATGTCCATGTTTCAACAAGTGTTCATATTTGGTTTGAGCTAGCACAGCTAACTATGTGTATGACTAATATACTTATAATAAACTGGAACTGGATATATGGAACTGTTTTGGGGGTGGCTCCTACCATTTGCAGTATATTTTATTTGAAATGCGTACAATGAAGTATGGTTAAAATAAACTAAAATTAGTGATCACTTTAAGTTGATATAACCGTAGTTTACTGTACATTATTTGAAAGTGGTAAAAGTTGTGCTGATTCCAAATGTGATGACAGAGCTTATTACAGGACTAGATGTGAGATCACTATGTTCTCTATGCTTATTACAGGACTAGATGTGAAATCACTATGTTCTCTATGCTTATTACAGGACTAGATGTGAAATCACTATGTTCTCTATGCTTATTACAGGACTAGATGTGAGATCACTATGTTCTCTATGCTTATTACAGGACTAGATGTGAAATCACTATGTTCTCTATGCTTATTACAGGACTAGATGTGAGATCACTATGTTCTCTATGCTTATTACAGGACTAGATGTGAGATCACTATGTTCTCTATGCTTATTACAGGACTAGATGTGAGATCACTATGTTCTCTATGCTTATTACAGGACTAGATGTGAGATCACTATGTTCTCTATGCTTATTACAGGACTAGATGTGAGATCACTATGTTCTCTATGCTTATTACAGGACTAGATGTGAGATCACTATGTTCTCTATGCTTGTTACAGGACTAGATGTGAGATCACTATGTTCTCTATGCTTATTACAGGACTAGATGTGAAATCACTATGTTCTCTATGCTTATTACAGGACTAGATGTGAGATCACTATGTTCTCTATGCTTATTACAGGACTAGATGTGAAATCACTATGTTCTCTATGCTTATTACAGGACTAGATGTGAGATCACTATGTTCTCTATGCTTATTACAGGACTAGATGTGAGATCACTATGTTCTCTATGCTTATTACAGGACTAGATGTGAGATCACTATGTTCTCTATGCTTATTACAGGACTAGATGTGAGATCACTATGTTCTCTATGCTTATTACAGGACTAGATGTGAGATCACTATGTTCTCTATGCTTATTACAGGACTAGATGTGAGATCACTATGTTCTCTATGCTTGTTACAGGACTAGATGTGAGATCACTATGTTCTCTATGCTTATTACAGGACTAGATGTGATCACTATGTTCTCTATGCTTATTCAGGACTAGATGTAGAAATCACTATGTTCTCTATGCTTGTTACAGGACTAGATGTGAAATCACTATGTTCTCTATGCTTATTACAGGACTAGAGAAATCACTATGTTCTCTATGCTTGTAGATGTGATCACTATGTTCTCTATGCTTGTTACAGGACTAGATGTGAAATCACTATGTTCTCTATGCTTATTACAGGACTAGATGTGAAATCACACTCTATGCTTGTTACAGGACTAGATGTGAGATCACTATGTTCTCTATGCTTATTACAGGACTAGATGTGAGATCACTATGTTCTCTATGCTTATTACAGGACTAGATGTGAGATCACTATGTTCTCTATGCTTATTACAGGACTAGATGTGATCAATCACTATGTTCTCTATGTTCTCTATGCTTGTTACAGGATTAGATGTATCACTATGTTCTCTAGGATTACAGGACTAGATGTGAGATCACTATGTTCTCTATGCTTATTACAGGACTAGATGTGAGATCACTATGTTCTCTATGCTTATTACAGGACTAGATGTGAAATCACTATGTTCTCTATGCTTACATTACAGGACTAGATGTTCTCTGAAATCACTATGTGAGATCTATGTTCTTGTTACAGGACTAGATGTGAGATCACTATGTTCTCTATGCTTATTACAGGACTAGATGTGAGATCACTATGTTCTCTATGCTTATTACAGGACTAGATGCTTGTGAGATCACTGTATGTTTCTCTATGCAGGACTATTACAGGATGCTTATTAGATGTGAGATCACTATGTTCTCTATGCTTATTACAGGACTAGATGTGAGATCACTATGTTCTCTATGCTTATTACAGGACTAGATGTGAGATCACTATGTTCTCTATGCTTATTACAGGACTAGATGTGAGATCACTATGTTCTCTATGCTTATTACAGGACTAGATGTGAAATCACTATGTTCTCTATGCTTATTACAGGACTAGATGTGAGATCACTATGTTCTCTATGCTTATTACAGGACTAGATGTGAGATCACTATGTTCTCTATGCTTATTACAGGACTAGATGTGAGATCACTATGTTCTCTATGCTTATTACAGGACTAGATGTGAGATCACTATGTTCTCTATGCTTATTACAAGGACTAGATGTGAGATCACTATGTTCTCTATGCTTATTACAGGACTAGATGTGAGATCACTATGTTCTCTATGCTTATTACAGGATTACAGGATTAGATGTGAGATCACTATGTTCTCTATGCTTATTACAGGACTAGATGTGAGATCACTATGTTCTCTATGCTTATTACAGGACTAGATGTGAGATCACTATGTTCTCTATGCTTATTACAGGACTAGATGTGAGATCACTATGTTCTCTATGCTTATTACAGGACTAGATGTGAGATCACTATGTTCTCTATGCTTATTACAGGACTAGATGTGAGATCACTATGTTCTCTATGCTTATTACAGGACTAGATGTGAGATCACTATGTTCTCTATGCTTATTACAGGACTAGATGTGAGATCACTATGTTCTCTATGCTTATTACAGGACTAGATGTGAAATCACTATGTTCTCTATGCTTGTTACAGGACTAGATGTGAGATCACTATGTTCTCTATGCTTATTACAGGACTAGATGTGAGATCACTATGTTCTCTATGCTTATTACAGGACTAGATGTGAGATCACTATGTTCTCTATGCTTATTACAGGACTAGATGTGAAATCACTATGTTCTCTATGCTTATTACTTGTTACAGGATCACTATGTTCTCTATGCTTATTACAGGACTAGATGTGAGATCACTATGTTCTCTATGCTTATTACAGGACTAGATGTGAGATCACTATGTTCTCTTTGTTCTCTATGCTTATTACAGGACTAGATGTGAGATCACTATGTTCTCTATGCTTATTACAGGACTAGATGTGAGATCACTATGTTCTCTATGCTTATTACAGGACTAGATGTGAGATCACTATGTTCTCTATGCTTATTACAGGACTAGATGTGAGATCACTATGTTCTCTATGCTTATTACAGGACTAGATGTGAGATCACTATGTTCTCTATGTTCTGTGAGATACTGCTTATTACAGGACTAGATGTGAGATCACTATGTTCTCTACAGGATGATGTGAGATCACTATGTTCTCTATGCTTGTTACAGGACTAGATGTGAGATCACTTATTACAGGACAAGATGTTCTTTGTTCTATGCTTATTACAGGACTAGATGTGAGATCACTGTATTCTATGCTTATTACAGGACTAGATGTGAGATCACTATGTTCTCTATGCTTATTACAGGACTAGATGTGAGATCACTATGTTCTCTATGCTTATTACAGGACTAGATGTGAGATCACTATGTTCTCTATGCTTATTACAGGACTAGATGTGAGATCACTATGTTCTCTATGCTTATTACAGGACTAGATGTGAGATCACTATGTTCTCTATGCTTATTACAGGACTAGATGTGAGATCACTATGTTCTCTATGCTTATTACAGGACTAGATGTGAGATCACTGTGTTCTCTACGCTTATTACATAGTGTGCTGTCATTACCTTGCCTGGATGGTCCCACTTGATTAATATTGAAACAGGCATCCCTGATGACAGGGATATCACTCAAGTATGCACTGGTCAGTGACATGGGAGTGGACAGCCGGTCCAGCCACTGGACACTCAATTTCAGCAGTCTGACAATGGAAGATGCATCACTGAATGGACTGTAGTGGAAATCGCGGAGGTGATGATTGTATTGACATTTTAGTACTTAAACTATGTTGATTTCAGTGAGTCAGTGGTTGAGATTAGACTGGCAATTTGAGCGAATGTGATCGTGTTATTTCACATTATAGATGTGCCAACAGTATGATTCAAACATTGGTAAAAGTTACATCATTATTAACAATATTTACAAATATAATCTGGAAATATGTGACACTGACGTGCATATTATCAAATTTGAAAATAGAAACAATATAAAATATAAAAAGTTATGGATGATTATCTTTACATTTAGGTGTGAAGTTAACAAGTGTGCCTCAAGCATAGTGACTTGGTTTTATTCTTTTGAAAAGTTTGATTAGATTCAATTATATTTTAAAAACTAATCATTGAAAATGTACTGACATTTATAGTAAGGAGAATGCTGTGATATCTGTCATGGTTGAAGTGTCAACTGTAGCTGTACCTCCGACAAACATATCAAAGTGACTTAAAATAGATGAATAACTATTTAACCTTATGTTCATTTTTATGCTATTTAGTAGTGTTGGGAATTGGTTATATTCTCACAATTGATGATTGGTTCATTACAACCGATCAATCATCGAAAATAATTGGTTAGCGTCATTTATGAAATGTTCATGGTTATGTTGTTAATGCACCAAAAATATAGAACAAATATGTAGTTCTTTCAGGGTTTTTTCTTTGCAAATTGCACAAAATGCATTAAAAATGTCATCTATTTACAGGATGACTAGTATGTTAGGAACATAAATTTCCTGGAGTCTTTAAGATAAATTCAATCATGACAAGGAACGAGCTTGTAGTGCTTATGAAATTTAACAAAAACCAACCTTGTGTAAAATGTGGTTAATGCAAACAAGTGTTTCAAAATTGGATGTGTTCGATTATGAGAAAACATGATCGATTGCTCGGTCGTTTAGTCATTGCGACCAATCTTCGATTATTTCAACTAATCGAACCACCACTACTATTTAGGTGACGGAACTCCACTGTTACAAATTTTTCCTGCAACTTTAAATGTGTTTAACGGCTTAAATATAATTTTATGGAACATGATCCCATGCTAAACTCTGTATGATGAGACAAATGTCTACAAATTGATGAAAGTATTGAGAGAGATGTTGGAGTGAGGTGAATCTGAAGGCGGAGGCCCAACACCAGATAGTTGGCACTGTGATGAGCAGGGTAAAGATTCCAGGGCCATCTTGACAGCACGTGGCACAGCTTGGCAGTCACCTCTGGCGGTGGGTAGGTCGGTAGGTAGCACACTGGTCTAACTTACAGGGGCATTTCCTGCATGTCAGTATGCGTGACCTTTGTTACCTAGAGATGCGGGATATGCCATCAGGTGCTGTGGAGATTTACTGCAGGCTGTGGTTGTATATATACCTTTCTTACATAATACTTGTACTGTTATTCACCATCATACTGATCAGTATTTGTGCTCAATTTCAACGGGAAACACATTGAATAAGATTCAGATCGTTCATGTTGAATCATATCACCCTTGATTGTTACTAGACTGTGGGGGCGGTGGGGTAGCCTAGTGGTTAAAGCGTTGGCTCGTCACGCCGAAGACCCGGGTTCAAATCCCCACATGGGTACAAATTCACATGTGTGAAGCCCATTTCAGATGTCCCCTGCCGTGATGTTGCTGGAATATTGCTAAAAGCGGCGTAAAACCAAAACTCAGTCAGTCAGTACCAGACTGTGTCTGTGTGTATACAATATATATATATACTGGGAGAAACAAATAAAGGAACACAGGAAAATTCAAACATTCCTTTAATATTTTCCAGGTTTCATCATCACAGTGCTGTGGGAGGAAATCTGAAAATAAATAAAGGAACACTGCCATGAAGTGGTGTTCCCTTATTTGTTTCCCTCAGTATATATCCATAGTTGAATGACTGCATTTACTGATTTAGTCCTTTTTCATTCAGGTGTTTGATAGAGAAATACTGTTTATTCGTAAAACGAAAAACAATGTGACCTTAACGCTAAGGTGATTGTAATTCCCATACCTTAACACAGACATGCAACAGTTGGAGCGCTAAGATTGTTCAGTACAATACCACCCATACAATTGTTCCACAAAGTGATGTATGTGATAATATTGGTGTGAATGTTAAATTATGGGAATCCTGATAATACAGTGCTAACAGGCACAGGATTTTGTCTGGGCATTGTGTACAATTTAAATGTCATAGGGGCTGTAGGGTAGCCTAGTGGTTAAAGCGTTAAGGTGTCATGCTGAAGACCCGGGTTCGATTCCCCACATGGGTACAATGTGTGAAGCCCATTTCTGGTGTCCCTTGCCATGATATTACAGGAATATTGCTAAAAGCTGCGTAAAACCATGCTCACTCGCTACATGTGATAATTGTCCATGTGTTCATGCTGCATGACTCTGTTAATGAGGCCTGTATTTTAACACCGGCTGCTTAGGAATGAATTACATTACAGAGCACTATGCCATGATTATTCATATACAAGCATGATCGTAATAGACCATCCTTCTGACAAGGGTGTCCTGGGAATAGCATGCATTACTTCATTTGATATTCATTCAGAATCTGACTGATTGGAAGATTTCCTTTTGTTTATTCAACTGGAAACTCCTTTCATATCTTCATGAATTTGTTGGGTGGTGGGATAGTCTAGTAGTTGAAGCATTTGCAGGCCATGCTGAAGAGCTGAGTTTGATTCCACACAGGGGTACCTCGTGCCCCTCCATCATTTTACATGAATGATGTTGAAACAGTGGTTAACTGGAACCATCATTATTTTGTTTACTTTTTGTTGAAAGACATTTCTTGCCCAGATAGCAGTGTATGAAATAAGTTTGGAAAATAGCCAGTTCAAATATGATAATTTTGTCTATTTAAATGGCAAAATAAGACAAAAACTTCTAAAAGTTGCCAGCCCAGACCAAAAGTAACCAGGTTATAGTCTTATCAGGTTTTATTTCATACACTGTTTTATCACTGAAACTCTGGCTGTCTCTTCAGTTTCTTTGTTGAACACATGGTATGATCTGCATGTCAAAGTGAATGTCGCATGAATAACTTATGAAGAATTGCACAGATGGCTTCACAAAGTCAAATGCTTTAACAGCATGCTGGTTTCATTAGAATAAAATTCAAGAAGTTCTTTTTACAGCCAGGATTATGCACACCCATTTGGAATGCATAATAGATGATATGGTTTGCCTACAGTTTGTCTGTCACTTGTAGTATCTGCAGCACAGATGTATGAAGTCGATATGGCTTGAAATGGACAATTGGAATGTTGGTTCACTCATTACAAATACAACTGCATTTTATAAAAATGCGAAACATGCTTTTCTGTCTAATGTTTTATGCTTTTTGTAATATAGTTTTTGCATCTTCCCATGTTAATCTTATGTTTCAATGAACATTTCTGTACAATACAGTTTCATTTTGTATTGACCTCTGCTGAAGTGGATTTCCATGCAAGTAGGGGAGGCAACTCTCAGAGCAGAAGCTGTCAGGTACACAGGTTTTCCATTTTGTGTTCAATATCGGGATCATCTGACACCGGTCACTTGTTTGATTCCCTGACCAATCACAAACCCAGCTAGGATTGTATTTCCTGCTCTATCAAGGAATTGATTCCTCTACAAACAAAGCACATTCCACTGGATGGTGCTGGGATAAACTTCATGCATGTGCTGATTTCCAGGCCATTCACCATTGATAGGGTTGATACGCCATGGTGCTAGCCTTTTGCGTGAAGGATTGGAGGGGGGGATTCAGATTGTGTTTGTGAGTGAGTGTCAGAGACTATATCCTTACACAATTTTCTGGGTATAGCTGAAAAATTGGTAACACAGGTCTAACTTCTAAGCCTTTTTGTCTGCTGCTCACTCACTCACTCACTCACTCACTCACTCACTCACTCACTCACTCACTCACTCACTCACTCACTCACTCACTCACTCACTCACTCTCACTCACTCACTCACTCACTCACTCACTCACTCACTCACTCCTTCACTCACACTCCTCACTTCACTCACTCACTCACTCACTCACTCACTCACAGAAGTATTGTTGGAATGTTGCTGAAAGTGGCCAGAAACAATCACTCTTACCAAAAGTGACATTTACAGTATAGAAATGACTCACACAGGTACTCACCTGACATGTGGAAGGAACTTTCAAATTTATTTATAAAGTGGAATTATGTTTTAACAAAGAGCTGCCAGTAGCTCACTACAGCAATATCATGTCAGTATATGCATGAAAGTATTCATATATTAGCCTTGAAGCGAACATCTTGTACATGTATAAGCATAATGTACACCTGCTTGCTGGACATACTGACCAGGCCGATCAACTGATGAGAGCCAGGGGTGTGTGCGGAATTTCGCTCATCTCAAATTACCTGTTTTTATTTGAGAATTGATCATGGCCAGGCTGTGGAGAGCCTGTGTTTGTTGAGTGAGTCATGTCCACCTCTCAGACCTTCACTGACCGCTGCATACAGCTGTAAGCTCACACATCACTTGATCCTTGGGTTGGGCCAAGTGCATCTGTTGAATGGAAAGCACTCACACTGAATGGAGGTTTGATATCAAGAAAGAGTTCAGGGTAGAAGTCATGGTTTTGTAATATGGGCAACATGTTATTAGCAGAATTGTTTCTCAGTTGAAACAGATATGATGATCGCAATATGTACTCTGTTGATGAATTTGTAATTAATGTCAGGGTGAGTTTCATTTTGTAGTGAATAAACAGCTTTTCTGTCAGTTTTGGAATTGGTCTTCAGAATTGGTCGTAAGAGATGACATAACGGATATGGTAGCCAGACTCTGGCTTGGTTGATGCATGTCATCAAATCCCAGACATGCTCATTGAAGCTCAGGACGTCAGTCAATGGATTGAATATTTACAGACTGTCGTCATATAACAGGAATTTTATTCTGAGCATTCAACAACAAACCATTTGAACCATTTCTGTGAGTAAATGTCATTATTAGACTTATCAATCAATAATTGAAACATGGATGATCCTATTTCCAATAGTAGGATGTGGCTTGTTTCATCAGGTAGGTTCTCTCTGTGTACTTGGTGAGACTACAACAAACATAATTCCCCTCAACCATTCACTGATCACTGTCCAGCTCATCTCCAGCTCTGAATAGCTCTCTCCTGATTGACCACAGACACAGGGTGTTGACTACTCCCCAGCTCTCTGTACAAAGGACATCAGTTAAAATCATCTATTACAATCATCTATTACAATCAGCAGTAATTACATGATGTGAATATGAGCCCCGCCACATCCTGCATCTCCACTGTATTATCAGGATGGGCTGTGGCCTCACATTCCTAGCCACTGGCCAGAATGCAACTCTGAGCTGGCGGCCTAGGAAGAGCTGGTTCAGAGACTTGGTCAGTCGGTGTACTGGACTAGACGCTGACCAACCTGACCTGCTGGCCAGCCAGCCAGCCAGGAGTGACCACGCACTTGTTTGTTTCTTGCTGTGTGCTCACTTGTGCGGATCAATATTTCCTCATTGTTCAGTTGGGTCTTGCTGACTGACCACTGTCCTTGTACTGGCCTTCATTCACAGCAGGGTGTTACTATGGAAAACTGTAATGGGCATCAAGGTTAGGTAAGTCACAGTTGTTGAGCAAATACAGGCGTCTAGGGTGTGTGACCTTCTCTTTACTGCTGTCATGCACTGCTCATGCACTGTTCCTGGACGGATTAATGCACTACCTTATCCCATAATGTGTGACTGTTACTCCAGTTCTGGACATATTGAGTAACATGTCCAGTGTCAGGGTCCATGGTGGACTGAGCTCAGTGAGAGCTGATCAGCTTCATGAACATTTAGGACGTGACTAATCTTAAGTAGAAATACCTATAAGTGAATTCATTGATTGCCACATGGTTTGGTCAGTAATAGAGTTGTTACATAATCATGGATATAACAAATACTGCTTTATTGACACTGATTGAAAGCTAGCTGTTTCAATGTTGTGTTCTTGTGACGTGTTCAGGCAACAGATTATGTATGGTTGGTTTATTGACAAACACAACTTCATGTGCAGATGCATGGACATTGTTTACACAGACATTAAGAGGCCTTCAATTCGGCAATCCAGTTTTGAATGAATTTACATTCAAATCTCTTTTTGGAAAGCCTTTATGTTTTATAAAGCCTTGTTACGGACATTGTAATTATCATTTTCTCTCTGTTGAGATGATGAGACATTGTTTATTTAGAGATGGTGAAGGATCAAGGTCATTTGTAAAGTTTCATCACTATTTTCATTTTACTCCCCATACTCATTTTACTCCCCAGAGAACATGTTGTAACATGTAAGGTAAATGTCCTCAATCATTGACTGCACACACAAGAGAAAATCAACTTGGATACATCATTTACTCTCTTCATCATTATGGGACCGGTGGGGTAGCCTAATGGTTAAAGCGTCCACTCGACATGCTGAAGACCTGGGTTCGATTCCCCACATGGGTGCAATGTGTGAAGCCCATTTCTGGTGTCCCCCCCGTGATATTGCTGGAATATTGCTAAAAGCGGCGTAAAACCATACTCACTCACTCACTCACTCACTCACTCACTCATCATCATGACACCATCTTTATTCAGAAATACAGTGTACAGACTCTGAATTAGACTTGTTTATTGACACTTGTCTGTAGGCAGCTTGTACTCAACAACAGCTTCAACAGCTGGAGTTGTGGCTGTGTATTCCGTCCATTTGTTGAACGCTTCAAAGTCCCTGGTAACAATAAGAACATGTCTGGAGTGATGGCCACTCAGTTCTTCTCTGTAGGGGGCTTGTCTTATCCCACACACGATATACAGGAGAAGGTGTTTCAGGTGTGAGGCAAGGTAACTGGGAACCCGGTCAATGTTTGTACTGTACAAAATCCCATAGTGAGCAACAGAGACCATCTCTATTGTGCACATGTAAAATGTGTGTGAGACATGTACACATGAAGCTGCTTTTTCATTGTGTACTGTTCATAAGTGTTAATTATTGTGGGTATATTTATTTTTCAAATGTTATTGTGATTGTGCATACAAAGCCCTTGATTTCAAAAGCATTTGATATAAAAAGTAACTAATTTGTTTTGCATTGAAGAGCCTGTATGTTTTGGTCATGTGATAAATTCACTACTTTTTCTTGATTGCCTGGTCATAGAGATGGCGGCCTATGTGTTGCCGAACTGTGCTGATTAATGGGATTTTTTAACTTCATGTAAATAATTTATTACCCTACTTATTAATGACCTATTTATTTATAAGACTTCAATACAAGATTTATGCCATGTGCATAAAACCAAAAACAATATGGAAATCAACTCTGAAGTGACATTCATGGTGTATGCTTCAAGTTGTTTTTGTTTTGTTGTTCATGTTTCAAATTTGTATGCTAGGTTAGTACTGTGATGGAGTACTGACAGTGGGTTGTGAGTAGAGGTGGCAGATATATCTGGTGATAGATTGCTCTACAGATCAAACAAGGAGTTGATGTCAGTATGGCTACCTACAGTTACTGATCTTATAACACTTTCTTTTGAGCACATAGCACAACTGGCCAAAATCTTAGATGCTTCTGCCAAAACAGTAGGAATTGTGAACAATTTATCTTTACGTACACAATTTACAGTGGGTAACACAACTAACGACAACAAAAACAACTGATGGTTTTTTAGACATTCATTATTAAATGCATCTCATCAACTCTGACTGGTGCATACATGAAGTGAATGCTTGTTCAGTTCCTGGGAACATTGTCCTGATGGACATCAACTCAAGCATTCAACCAGGGACCCTCTTTACAAAACAATCTCAGCACCACTACGGACAACACGACCTTCCACAGCTTCAGCTGCAATAGTTGTAGCCCCACTGTTCACGAGGGATTGTTACACTACATGTGTTGTAAGTTTACATGAGTGAGTGAGTTTAGTTATACGCCACACTCACCAATATTCCAACTATATGGCAGTGATCTGTAAATAATCCAGTCTGGACCAGACAATCCAGTGATCAACAGTATGAGCATCGATCTACGCAACTGGAATGCGATGACATGTGTCAACCAAGTCAGCGAGCCTGACCACCCGATCCCGTTAGTTACCTCTTACGACAAGCATGGGTTACTCAAGATCAATTCTAACACCGATCCTCACGGGTCGTAAGTAAGTTTGTATGAAGCAGTGGGAGATAAGTCAGTGTTAGTGCTAAAATTGTTTTTTTGAAGAGGGTTGCGCTACACGTGTTGTAAGTTTCAGCTAAACTGTTACTAAACTGTTGTAGTAATAACAGCGTTTAAAATTCCTGCCTGCCCGACCGTCCGGAATGGTCTATTTTCATCTCGAACGATAAATGTTTTAAAAAAAAAGTAGCCTGTCCGGTGGTCTGGTAGATATTTCTACCCCTAACAGTAAATATTTCATAATATCAGACAGGTTCTCTTGTGGTCAGTTTGAGATGTTTAAGGTATAATGAAAATTTTGTTAAACTACTTACGATTGGACAGTTCATGTTACGATAACCAAAGACAACACGTGTACTTTCAGTTTATCTAAACTCGGTGCATTGCCTGTTAGTCCTATGTAGTTCATTGTGATGCCTATCGTCGCTGTCGTATAGGTTAGGCCACACGATGATATGGAAATTTGTTGGGCTTCCCACAGTAAAGTATTCAGAAACCTGTATTTGTTTTGTTTTTGACTGTTGAAAACCAAACAGGCAAGTTTGTATCCGGACTTTTAATTTTTAAAGTTACTAGTCCGGCTGTCTGGCTTGGAATTTTGGGAGTTTTAAACACTGGTAATAAGAATGTTTGATGAATACAGACCCAGTTCTTTTGTCTTACTTTTCTCTAAATATTCCAGCCTGGGATCATATTCACAAATCCATCTTAGTGCTAAGACTGGCAATTCTCCTAGATTAAACAAAGTCACTCCTAGCACTACAGTTGCTTTGTGAATATTGAGCTGGATCAGTTGAACTGCTTGGTCAATGACTTTGCTGTTCTTGCCCGACCTTTCAGTCAATGGTTATCTTTCAGAGATATTATCTCTAGAAAGATCAGTAAGAGTACTGAATTATCTCAAACAAAAGACACTGAATCATCTATGTCTTGTCAAAATAAGTATGTTATGAAAAATTAGTCTGTATGTTAACAATGATCAGAGTAGTCTTCTATGGGTATTTGTTTATGAGCTCATACAATATATTTTGGCACTTAGTATTGCTCAAATTTGTAAGCTTTGTGAAACAATTGATAAAATTTGTGTAAAGTTAGTGCATTACCATCTGAGTAAATATGTTGACACCAGTGACTACTGTAGTTTGTTTGAAATAACATGCTACTGTTTTGTAAACCCACAACAGACTAACGTTGACTGAAACCATCCATTTTGACTGCTGACATGACAGCCAATGGTTTGTTTGTTCCGAGCAACTGTATGTGCTGGGATAGTGATGCGATACACCTGACAATGTCTTCCATAACTCCAGCATGACTTACTCTGATACTATCTAATCTAGTAACAATACAACTGGGTACATACTCTGATGGACCCCAGAGAAGGTGTAGGTGCACACGACACTCTCCCTTACACCTAGACTGTCACCACATTGTGGTGGTCCCTGTATGTGTTTTATTGCTTATTGGGTCCCGTCAAGTCCCATCCCATTTTACAAACTGCCAGATCCACCTTGTCAATTGTCATGTTAACTGGCATGGTTACTTTCAGTGTAATAGGGATACATGTGAAGGAAACTTACCTGAGTTCTTTATTTTCAGATTGAAGTGTTGGATAACCAGTTCCTGTACCCTGAGAAGCTGACATGATTACAAACATTGGGCCCACAAGTTATGGACATATTAGCTGCTGAACATCAGTATTTGTGTTGGTAAGTAAGTCAGTGGACAATCTCTTCTTCATCAGTGTCTGTGATGCATGAAACTGTAATTCAGATATCACCTGGTGTATAATGTAAGAAGAAAGCCCATAGTCAGGCAGGTCTTTTGCCAATTTGGTCAAACCCACACTCAAGGTGGCTGTTCATAATGAAGCTGCGTCAAACCCATTATCATAGGATCCTAGGACACAACACTGCATGGCTTATTGAAACTCTGTGGAAGATTAGGCCACCCGTGTGCCCCAACATTATGGTATCCTTGGCTCATTGTCACCCTTTCATAGCCCTAATCTCAGTATATTTTACGTGATTATGTTGCTCCATTCTGCTTATGCCTATGTCAGGATCAAGGTGGACCATTTGCCTTAATGGTTTTGTTGTGAGTGTATTTTAGTGTTGGTTGTAGTGTTGCTCATGTCCTGTAGAAGAAATGGGACACTTGGCTGAGAACCAGCTCTCAGAGCCACCCTGTGGGCAGTCCACTGTTAGGACAAGAGTGTAGAAATCCATCAAGCATAACATGATAGTGTATGTACATTGTAAACCAGAACTGCCACGAGGCTCTCTGTATCATGTTGCAGAAAATTGACAGATTTGATTTCACATGCTAAGGTCCATATTGTCCAGTAGGTACAAAGTTGGCTCAGAATAAACAAACAGGCTGGACATGTGGTGTAGTATGTTGACATCTGGCTACATGATATATGCTTGGAAGAATAAAAAGGGATAGAGGCTGACCATCAGTGGGCAGACCTTTATGAGATTTTGATGCATACATACCCATTTTGGGTGACTGATAAAAATGGAGATTAGATCGTCACAGTGGTAGATGACCATCAACAGCCGGCACCCAGGCCAGACTGACCCACTTTTCATTCAGTGTTTTTGACAATTTGGGAGTGGCCCATGTCATAACCCTGAATTTGAAAACACAGATTTGGGCTTTCTTTGAAAAAATACTGTGACAAAAAGGAATACAAAACCAAAGCCCAATAAGTTTTAACATTCTTGTTCATTCAGACAATGTCTGGAACCTGAGTCAGATTCAATTATTAGCAGGCTTGAGGTAGCTTGAGTAATTATTGCTGACTTTGTCCAAGAACTATGTTTCTTGTTGACTTGGTTATGACTGGTGAACAGACTTTCTTGATGCCTGTTGTGAACTGACTTTCTTGATGATTTGTCAGTCCACTTTGTTATGAATGTGGTGAACTAACTTTCCAGTACCCTGTGTCATCAATAGACAACAATTTTTTGTTGTTGAGTTTTGCCATAATAAGATGCATGGTTCACAGGACAAGGTAGACGCAGTATTGATTATTTGTGAATGCATGTGACAGTGTTGAATTTACTGCTTGTGCCAAGATAAACAAATGTCCATCTGTGTAAACCAGTCCGGAGTGGTAATTAATGTCGAACCTGAAGAATTCCCCCTCCATACAGACCAGCTGTTGACAAGGGCGGACATCACCTGTGCATGCTCTTTCCTCATCAGTGTGCTAAATAACTGTGAGGCTGTTATCTCAATGCTGATTACTAGCCATCATTCACGTCTCCTATATCCAAGCTTGTTATATATTTCCATCATATCACCAAAAAGATGGACAGATTGCATGTAATAACGTCCCCACAGCATTTTTGTGGTTCTCAGTGCTGATTGGCCAGTTGAATCCTTAGTACATACAACATACAAGAGCAACATGATATGATAGTTAGTGTCACAAGCTGATAGCATTGTGTGATCTGAACAATAAGCGGACTCTTGGGAATTTTGTCTTCAGTGTTGGCTTTTTCACAGGTTTTCTACTTTTAATTTTCTTTAAAAATAATAGTAACAATTACTAACATGATGAAAATCACCTTGAAATGATATTTAGGATATCTATCATTCTAGAATACATGATGTAAGACCATCTCCAAACACCCTGGTCAGCTACTTTGTAATATTTTAATGATCGCTTGCTATTCTCTAAATATCTGTCATCACTTGTGATCAGAATGGAGACTTTTTTAGGGCTCAAAAAATAAAAAAATCTGCACTCCCCTGCAAATTCGTAAGTAATATGAACTTTCCACTCGTCCTTCTAAAATTGTACTTGCCCAATAGATCATGCATCACAAAGAATATAAATTATTATATTTCAAAATGTTTGCTTGGAATAAAACTACAATGAACATTACTTAGCTTGTCTTCTGTACAAAATCGTTGACAAAATTAAATTCGTTCACCATTTAAGACAGCTGAACTTCAAGGAAAAAGAAAAATGTTACTTTTGGGTCAGAAAACGTACTCGTTCTCTAGGACAAGTCAATTATGTTTTTCACTTGCCCGAAACAAATTTTACTCATCAATATGAGCGGACAAGTGGAATTTTCGTGGCCTGTTTTTTTACTCTACAATTGCAAATGACTTATCATATGCCTTAGGCTAACAATGAGCAGATGGACAGTTCACACTTCCTTAGTTACATACAAATTGTGTTGACAACCATACTGACATGATATACATTTCTGAAGCCTTCCATTCCTCCAGAAGCTTCATGCCTGGGAAGGTTCTGGGTGGGGATGATTCCCCAGCAAATCTATAACTGTCTTGGCAAGTTTTGATTGTTACAGTGTGTGATCAGGCTGATTGTCTTTGCTATGTTTGTTCCCAATAGTACTCATGCAGTCAACCACTGGTTTGTGTGGCTTACAGCCGAACGTAAAGGTGTCATGATGTGACTGGAATATTGTTGACTCACAAACAATCTTTCATTAAATTACAGGAATGAGTGCATTGTGTTTTGCTTCACTTTTAGCTAAATTCTTGCAAAATCACAGCAGGGGATACTAGAAATGGGCTTCACACTCTGCACATGTCTTCAAGATCGAACCTGGGCCTTCTGTTTAATGGGCAAATACTTTTATTACAAGCTATGCCAGGAATTTCATTTGCTGGTCGTTTTTCATATCGCCCAATTTACTGTGGCTCTGTATTTAAGTATGTATGTAACTATCTGCTTAGTGTGGTGGGAAGGTTTGGAAGTTTTAAGTGGCGTGTTACAATTTTGCATGGGTTTGATGCTCACAGGTCAAAGAGCTTAACCTCGGCAAATTGGGGATGAACATCTACAGTTTTTATATCTTTTTTTAAAATATATATATTTTTTTATTTATTCATTTTTATTTTATTTTTTTTTTTTTTTTTTATTTATTTAATTATTTTTTTATTTTAATTTTTTCGTGGGGAGGGCAGGAGACGGAGGCACAATTATGTATCACCTTAGGAAGTCTAATGTGTCAGTCTGTCTGTCAAATATAGCCCCATCACTGATCATAATCACTTTCAACATTATTTGAAACATCATCGTACAAATAACAACTTAAGTTAACTTAAATGTACAGAAATTGTAGAATTTAGAGAAAGCGTGAAGTTGTTCACTTATTCTTACCGCTGAAAAGAATTATATTAAATTGGAGGATATGTTCAATTTGTCTCATTGTTTTCATTCAATGCATCATCTGTGGTGTGACAGGATTAGAAGAATTTGTCATATGAACACCAGGTGCATTTTACGTACACACGCTTCTGACAGAAACTTCATGAAATCAGATATATTTAAGCACGGTGATCATTTACAACAACCTGCGTCAGTCATAATATACATTTAATCTTAAAACATTGCAATGAAATATATTTACTGTTTAACAGTTTGCGACAGAAAATCTTTATTGTCATGCTGAGTGGTAATCTATACTGGACAAAATAAGTTAGGGATTTTGGTATTTTTATGATTAATATTTTATCAGTGTCAGTGAATAAATAGATCATTATTCATAATTTCAAAATTTTCATATATCCCTAACTATGTTTGTCCAGTATATGTGAAATACGAAGAAACAGGTGTAGTTTTAAAGTTAAAATTCTACATGACATGGTGACTGGACTGGTTACTCATCTGTCAGCTGCATCAACTGCTGGAATCAATGAGCACCAGATGGCAATAGATGTAGGCCAGGCAGATATACACACAGGGCTCATGTTGGATACATCTGTCATGAACCACATCCTGTTTCACATGTCCTCAAAAAGGTAGTAGATTTTTTATGTACAGGTGTGTATGTCTGTCAGCTGTAAACCATCCTTAAACAGTGTATTGCAATCAGATAACATCAGTTCAGTATGGAGAGTCAGCTGATCTGAAATTGTTTTTACAGTTGAATTGAAGGTAAAAGTTTATGTAAAACATGCTCGGCTAATGTTAAAGGCACAATGTCTCACATTTTCGAGATTATTTTGGGGCATATGCACCCACTTTAGCTTCCTATTGATGAAATAAAAGATTTATTATTGCTTATGAATTGAATGAAATTGATAATTGAAACTTTAAGGAGTACAGCTTCCAAACAGGAAACTTGCCATATATGGAATGTAAACAATTGCTCTGTACATCGAACACTGTCGCACGTGGTGTTGTCGGGAATAAATTATATGGTAGCTTACCTGAAAGCTGATAATAGTATTATTGAGAAAAATGCATTATTTATTTTTAGAGAAGTGTGGTGTGATGTAGTGTATTTAAGCATTGACAAATTATATTTGGTTTGGGTTACCACAATTTTAAGGAGTTGTGCATGGGGTTTACCCATTAAATTTGTCTTGTAAATTCAGTTTGTATTAACAATTTTGAGAACTACAAGTCTATAGTCAAAGGTTTGAATGTTTAGTTTAGAGATAGTGTTTGTTTATTGTGGTCAGCATTTTCTAAATTACACAGGTCCACATACAATAATCTGTCACAAGATCCACCCTTTCAAATGATTTTGATACATGACTGTGTTTTTGAAGGAAACTGCACACTAAAGTAACAATCAATTTTAGCATTGTGTTTCATGTTAATTCTTTCAGCCAACTGCCAATAAATGTGTCCAGCAATTTGGACTTCCTACGATCAATAGAAATGATAGAACGGGCCCTGTAATTATCATGTAAAGGGAAAAGCAGGCCCAAGATTTGAGATCAGACCATTACTAAACTAGATCCTCCTGCTGACAGTAAAAATACCCCCTGCTTTTCATGGCAGCATAGGAAATATTCAGTTACAAGCTCTGGTCATTTCAGCTTGACATGACCTACTTCTAGGGTCAATGAGGCAGAAAGGTTACATTGACCTTTTTGACCTAAGGTTGTGTTCAAAGGGAGATAATTCAAGCATAGTATCAAGATGGTCAGCCCTAAAATGCTGTCACTGCAAAGATCATTCTATATTGGTCCTTGATCTACATTCAACCACATTCAGTAGATTAGTTGATGGCATCGTACGGGATCAGTGAACTTTGTGTTTGAATGAAGGCCTTACATGTATCTGATGATGATTTAAAAATATTAGGTACTGTTTCCTTGAACATGTTTATCATTGAATTTGACTTCTTTTGATAAAATATTGAATTTGCTCAAAAGAATAAGGAAATGTGTGCATGAAGGTGTGTAAATAATGGTCTAAAAAGAGTCGAACTGGATCAACAAACAGAATTATTTGAGAATGTTTTACCGGATTTTAATGGTATTAGAAATCAGATATCCTGACATTGATGATTCAGAATTTCTGGAAGGAAATGTTGATTTGTAATCATCTTACTAAAATGTATATGTAATTTATATGGAAATCTTATTAAGATGAGCACATTTAGTTAAAATGTTTTGTTAACTATGTGTAACAGTGACCTGTGCCTGTGTCAGACTGTATAGCTGAATATATTTCAGGGCGTCTTGTCTCCATTTCCAAATGCAACCACATGTTTTGGTATTATGTATTTTTAACATCCATTCTTATGATTTCAGGTTCAGAAGATTCAAGAAACAATGAACTCATCTGAATGGTGAGAATACCATATTTTATAGTTTTCCTTTCTCAGTTTGCAGACAAGTGACTGATTCAGTGTGATGTCATCAAAATATGTATTATATGTATTAGTGCAAGAATGGCAGATTAGTGACTACTTCGTATCATCTGCAAACCATAACTAAACTTGTAAAAACATAAGTTCTATTTCATCATCATTCATGTGCAGTATCTGGAAAAAAAGAAAGATATAGAACTGCTTTTAGTTCAGTATAAAGAGAAATGACAACCGGAAATATCTGTTATCAGTATTGACTCAGCAGAAGATTGGACCTTATCATTCTGATTTCAACTATAACCAAGATGGATGTCATGCTTTGCTTCTGTCAATGCAGTGTTGAAGTTGGTAGTAAATATTCCGATCTGTTTTTGCAGGCGTGGTCTGTTGTAGACCATCTTCAATGTGAAGAAGGGAACCATGAACCACAACATGGGGACCCACCCAATTGTCAGTGATACATCGCAGGGGTCCTCAAACCACACGATACAGTCCTCAGGTATACACCTTACGGAGATGAGAATTCATTTTGAATGCACATTTTTCATTTGATTACTATACAGTTGTGAGTGCTATGAGCATGCTTTGGGCATGGGCATGGCTCATATGCATTCTTCTTTTCATTCTTTGTTCTTTATTTCTTTCCATCTTTCTTTCTTTCTCAATTGAATGGAGGTGAAGGAGCCTTTACCATATTTACTATGTACATGTATTCACATCAACAGTGACATTTTTGGTGGAATATTTGGGAAGGTAGAACTTGGTAGCTTGGTCACATTTTGGTACATTAGGTCAGTACCTTATGTCGGATGTTCCTGAAACATCTCTGATGTTCATCGAGTACATGGACATATGTTTTCAATTGAGGTTTTGTGCTTTGGTACCATATTCTTAAAACCATCTTCTTTCCCCTAAAATGTGTTTTGGGAAACGAGTCAAACAAATGTTCCATAATCTTCAAATCTGTGTTGGGTTGCTGGTCAAAATAATGTTGTAAGAAGTCTAATTGGGGTGATATGTTCCCCGGGACAGGTTTTGCTCATGCTTTCAGTCACTGGATTGTCTGATCTAGAATCACATGTTGCCGAAAAATAACAGAGAACATTTCTGACTGATGGAATGTCCTTTCTTCACTTCCCTCCGTCTTTCTTCCACTATTTTGTCTCTCCCTAATGCACTCATCTTCTCACTCACTCACTCACTCCTCACATTCATCAATCATGTTATGATGGGCCTGGACTTAGCATTAATCTTTCATCATTGTCTGGACAAGACTCGTTGAATTATTTACAGGCCATTGTAATGTAGCTAGAATGTTGGTACCTGGTGTGTAACTGAGGGAGACCCTGCCACATGGTAGCCAGCAGTAGGGTTACCGTAGTTACAGTGTAGAGACCCTTCTGATTTTCCAGTGAGCACCATGCCCAACCAAGCTGCCTACCTCGCCGCTGCCGCCTTCAACAATGCCGCTGACTCTTACAACGGCCAGTTTGCTGTCTTCGATTCTAAACCGTCCTACGTACCTCATATATCCAAAGAGAGTAAGAGCATCACCATTTATTCCTTCCTCCCTACCTGTATCAACCATCAACCCATTCGGTGTACCCATAGTGTCAGCTGAAGTCTGTTGTCTTGCTTGATAATCACACAATACCTTGTTTCATAAAAACATTGCTTTTGTTATCACTGGAAAAATCATGCTGACTGGATATAATACGAGTAAAATCATCCGGGCAGAAAATTAGCTTGTTCTTTGATGATCTTAAAATCGCAGGTTGACAAAAAAAGTAAAAGTAATTCTATATTTGGATCAAAACGTTCTTCATGAGTGTATTGAGTGACTACCATGGTTGTTGGGTGATCATGTGAGCGTGCTGGTTGCTGTTGGTCGAAGGTCAAGTACTGCTTTTGTAGGTGCTATCTTGTAAATGTTACTCGAGTTTCTCAAACAACAGGTGCTTCTCATCACACTGCAGGTTAATGGCAATTTGTTATTCACCTTTCAAGCCATACATTTGGAACTTTATGATTGTTTGTTTGTCATGCAGCCATCTTGTCCCAGACAGTAAAAAATGAAATTTCATTCAGTGGGTGCGCATATCGCCAAGAATAGTCTCTAGACACATATCAGATGTTAATTTGTGGGTGATGCCAAGATGTTGGTTATCGGACCACGACATGACATGTTCACTGTTAATTCTCTTGTGTCTTTATGGTAACAGCCCACTTCAAAACTGACCGGAAAAATGCTGTCTGGGATATTGCTGGCTATGGTAAGACGTTTACACTGCAGTACTGTGTGACTGCAGAACGCTGAATGTTGTCGGGTGTCATGTTGTTCCAATCATTTCACTGTTGTCCTGATGCATGAATCCAGCAAGACTTGACTTATAGCCATGCTCCATATTCGTGTCAGAAGTGAGAATTACTTATTGGCTGAATTACGCATGGTTTATGGATTACCTTAGTTACTTATAGATACCAGGGCCCAGATTCACAAATCGATCTTAGTGCTGATATTGCCATGTTACTTTAACATTGAGTATGATCATTGTAGCACTAATATTGCCTTGTGGAACAGGGTGCTGGGAAAGTTTCCACAATGACTTCATAATGATAAGACAATTATAATTCCCTCACTTTCACATACCTTATTTCACAGTTGTAAGATCGCCTGATGGAATGGACCTTTTGGGTCTATTTGAGGTCAAGCATCTGTTGGATGAAATATGTTACTTGTGATTACGACATTTTATGAGTGTATAGTGCTTTTCATCAACTGTTGTTTACGTTATGACTCATTGTTGCAATATTACATGGCCTGCTGACATCATGTTTATTTTACGAGAGCATTAAAATTAGAAAAAAAATGAGACCAGATCGCTTATAAAAGCAGGAGTGTATTATGAGGGACTGTATTTAATGCCTCTTTCTGTTCCTGTTGGGAGCCAGAGCAAATAAGATCTTAGAGCTTACCTTTGTCCTAGTAGTATCCAGAATGTTTGGATCAGGTAAGTGGCTGCACAATGGGATGAGATAACTGTGATACTGATGGTGGAATACCAGTAAGCAGACTGGTGGACACTGTTTTGACTGACTCTTTACTCAATGCTTTATAGTTTGATAGATTGGCTTTTCTGTGCAGTAGGGCATTGTTACAAGCAGATTAAAATTGGGGAATCCTTTTGTTTTGCTTACCTTTGAAATATTTTGTGTTATTTGAGGGTTATGTTTGCTTAAGTTTGACAGCATCATACATATGCTCAATCTTTTCAACAAAGTAGTAAGCATCTACATTAGGTGTCCTCCATCATCAAGCCATCACATTCTGAGCAACATTAAGACGAACTAATTCACTCACACAGAAGGGATTTAACGAATTTCTTTCTTCACAAGGACACCTGTATGTAATTCAGTCAGAAAAATTTAGTAGCTGATATAAATCTGTCATTCATGAATATTCTCATTGTCATTTTGCTAAAACTTTAGATGAAAAGTATTCTTTGTTTAGATGAAAAGTATTCTTTGTTTAGATGAAAGTATTCTTTGACTTGTTTCTGTTTCTGACCAATTTTTTATTTGAGTGAGAAGTAGGAACTAGCTTTTTAGTCAGCATGGTCCATCTATCTACAGACTCCTACACCAGTGAGACTTGAGTTTCACGGAAGTGCCATCTCCTTGCAGCTGTTTAGATGAAGATGCAAACCTCTCAGATTGTGATCCTCATTTGAAGCCTTGTTTTCCTTTGCAGCTCAACTGTATGATGTTCACTGTGGAATGTATTCAGTGACGAGTCCCACTAACCTGTCCCCCTCTCCTCCCCCTCCTCCGCGGATCTACAAGCCTTGTGTTGTCTGTAATGACAAGTCCTCCGGCTACCATTATGGTGTCAGCTCTTGTGAAGGGTGCAAGGTGAGATTGTCTTGTTTTGTCTCCAAACTTGCGAAGATCTGGGTGAGAATTGGTTTTCAGCAACCCATGCTTGTCGTAAGAGGTGACTAAAGGGATCTGGTGGCCAGGCTCGCTGACTGGGTTCATGCATGTCATCGTATCTCTGTTGCTGATGTCAATCGCTGGAATATTGCTGAGGAAGGCATTTAACTACAAACGAATCATAGCTATGTTATAGTTTATTGGACCGCCTCCGTGGTGTAGTGGTTAGAGCGTCCGCCCGGAGAGAGGAAGGTCACGGGTTCGATCCCCGGCCGTGTCATACCAAAAGACGTTAAAATATGATACTTGTTGGTCCCTGCCTGGCGTTCGGCATTAATGGGTACAACAAGGACTGGTCGGCTCGGAGTCAGTATAATCTGTCTGAGTGGGATATTCATGCTTCACTGCGGCATGGTATCTGAGTGGGCTAGCACTATAAAACCAGCTTAAGTCTGGGCTAGTACAAGCAGCCACACATACACATACACACACATGCACGTCGTCATATGAGCGAAAATATTCTCAAGCACGACGTTAAACCCAATTTCACCTCACCTCATAGTTTATTGTATTTAACATACTGATGAAGACTCATCATGAATCCTATCATTAGGTAATACTGTTACCGACTGAATTCCACCTGATGAGTAGGTACCTAGTACCATCCTTGAGTTGAACTGCATCCAGTAAATGGAATGATAATGACATGTGACTTCAAGGAACATCTTTTAGGTTCTGCTCATGACTGGTTCAAATGATGTATGTTTTAGTTGAACAAAAGATGAAAGAATATCTGAATTGAATGCTTTGCCTTTCTCGAATTCTTGCTTGTGATCAGAAATGGCAACTGTGGATTTGAAATCCATATTGATAATTTATTTGAAACATTTCTATCTGTATCACCTTGGCTTTGAGGTGAGATATTGTTCCGTTGGTGTGGTGCTTGTTATATGTTCATGAATCATTAACAGAGATGCCAACCCATACGATTTTATCGTATTCGTTACGAAAAAACAACACAAAATACACGACTACGATAGCTGTAAAAATACACAATTTAAAAAAAAAAAATACATTAAATTAAGTTATCAAATAGCATACGTACCATACACAATAAATTTCTATCACATTTTATTCAGTATCAAGCTATATGTGGATACATACTACTGATTTAGTTGAGTACAATGTTAGTAACCAGGTCTTAGGCTATATATTTAATTTTTTTATTTAATATGCAAATTCTTTGGAAAAGTTAATACTAATTTTGGCGAACAAATACTAATTTTTGAATCAGTTTTTGGCCAAAATACTAATTGGGCCAAATTAGGGTTGGCATCTCTGCATTGAGATCATTCCGTTGGTAGTTCCAAATGTTGAAGTGCTCCTATCCTTTTTCAGGGCTTCTTCCGTCGCAGTGTCCAAAAGAATATGCAATATACATGTCACAAGGACAAGAACTGCCCAATCAACAAGGTCACCCGCAACAGATGCCAGTACTGTCGCTTGCAGAAATGCTTTGCTGCGGGAATGTCCAAAGAAGGTATCTTAACTGCCTTGTGATATCTAAAGTTGTCTCCAGATTTACTGATGGTTAATCACAAAGGTCTCCTATTAGAAGAGACTTTTAAGTGAACAGTGTCTTCAAGACTCAAGTTTGGGTAGAAAGGGGTCCAGCAAATATGCAGAATGAGCAAATAATCTTATAAAAGATGTATGCCAGCACCACATAACTTCCAACACTTTTTGTCTTCTGGACTCAGTGTGGTGTCATGATTTGCACATTGTCGCAGCCACCAATATCTCATTTGTTTCTTAGACCTTCACAACTGAAGGAGTGTGAACAGTGTTTCATTGGTTGACCGTGAAAAGAAACTCTTAGCTTTGGTTTGAGGGACTTACCCTTGATGGTAGAGCCTAGGCCATACTTCAATTTTGTCACCATGAGGAGTAATCAGGTCAAGCTGACCATTAGTAGAAAGTTTGCATTCACATTATCAGATCAATTCTCTTCCTACCTGGTACCCATCTGCTGCACATAGAATGTGGCACATTTGAATAAGTACAGTTGAATCAGGGAAGTGTCTTTAAAGGAAAATAGAAGGTACAAAGGTAAGCAATCTGGAAGGACTGTCCTACATTTTGTTTATCTTTCTCCAGCTGTGCGCAATGATCGGAACAAGAAACGCAAAATTAAACCAGAGTGCACCAGCAGTCCTAATGAGGACTTGACTGGCGATGACCAGAACCTTATACAGGATATTCTGGAAGCTCACAGAGCCACCTTCATATCGGACATGGAGGACAGTCCAGAATCGGTAAGCTGATTTCAAGCTTTCAAGATGTGAAATGTTTATTCAATTTATAAGGATCTGAGATGGGAGTTTAAGTCTTCTTTCACCTTTTCTGTCTTCTGATATTAATGTGCTTTTAGACACAGTGGAATTGGTACCTTTTCTAGTGATGGCTTTCAGAATTGGCTGGCAGTGTTGGAGTTCGAGGCAGAATTTGACAGGTTTGACACTGCATTGAGCTATATCACAGCAGATATGGCCTTCACGCATTGTATCCATGTTGGGAGTCAGCAGGTCTTTGGTGTGGCAAACAAACACTTAAACCACTAGGCGACGTTGTTGGAAAAGCAATCCCAAGTGCATTCTATATAATTTTCTAGAAGTTCCATGCACAGTTACAAGGCTTGTTGACAGATTTACAATATTTGTTATTACGACAGTGATGCATTTGGTTTTGCTTCTTTCAGCCATCCTTGAAACCGCGTGAAGAGGAGGACAGTGTTATATTGTGGGAGAGAATTAGTGAATTATCCTCCGATGGTATTGTGAAAATTGTGGACTTTGCCAAGAAACTCCCTGGCTTCTCATCACTTTCACAGTCGGATCAAATTACATTACTAAAGGCAGCATGTTTAGAAATTATGGTGAGTCTCCTTCATCTCCATACATCTCTGCACCTTCAGTTTTGTATCTTGATAAATTATCGTACCTACCAAATTCTAATCGGCCAGGACCCTTTCTGTTATTTTCAGTGAAGGTACATTTCTTGTTTCCTTATGAAATTGCCAAAATGTTGGCATTACATTTGGAACACACCAACTGCAATTTTGTATCTTAAATTAATAATGTGAACCGCAATTCTCCTGATATGGACAAGATTTTATGGTTGAAATACAGGCCTACCATACAAACGGTAAACAAATCATCAAAACTGAACTCATATACACCAAAACAGAACACAAATCACCAAAATAGGAAAATAAACTTCACAAACTTCGCCATGACTTCAGGTAAAACTGACGGTCTACCAAACCACGAGGAGTGAACAAAGTGTTTGTAAACTTTTTAAATCACTAAAATATAGTAATGTTGAACGTGATGCTATGAATACTTTATTTACAAAACTGAAGAGAAACAGTAGCACGACATGTTGACAACAAATACTATTCGGTCGAACGAGGGACCACATTGTGCAGACTTGCAAGCCTGACACTGAGAAGTATGGACATAGGTTTGAAGCTTACTACAATAGGGGGTTGATGCGCTACATCCTGATATCAAAGTTTCAAGATTAGACTCATAGTGACGAAAAATATTATGTACCAAAGCCTATTTGTCTCCCCTCACCGCCATCTTTGAAGATTTGGATGCCGTTTCGGGATGCTATGAATGCCGTTTTGTACACTCGGCGACCGTTCTCGCTTGCTTTTGTAGCTGATACGCGAGTTTGGTTTCCATTTCAAATGAACAGTCTTCCATTACAGATGTATTGTTTCGGTTTTAGAGGATATTGATGCAGTTTGTGAAGTTTATTTTCCTATTTTGGTGATTTGTGTTCTGTTTTGGTGTATATGAGTTCAGTTTTGATGACATGTTTACCGTTTGTATGGTAGGCCTGAAATAGATATTGGGGAATATCTGTTCAGTTTGTACTCGTCTTTTGCTGCTTTGGTGAGCGTGCAAATCAACTAAGTGGATAAACCCCTAACTGTGGTATTCTGACTGATTCGGACCAATGCATGCAGCAGACATAACCTGCAAAATAATTGAGTGTGCAGTAAGGTATATTGGTTGTCCACGAGTCCCTCGGATGACATTGGTGGATGACATTATACAGATGTACAACCTGTGAGTGAGTTCAGTTTTACGCCGCACTCAGCAATATTCCAGCTATATGGAGGCGGTCTGTAAATAATTGAATCTGGACCAGACAATCCAGTGATCAAGAACATTGAACATCGATCTACGCAATTAGGATACGATGACATGTGTCAACCAAGTCAGGGAGCCTGACCACCCATTCCCATTAGTTGCCTCTTACGACAAGCATGGGTTACTGAAGATCAATTCTAACCCGGATCTTCACGGGTGTACAACCTGTGATATAAAGTGGAGCCCTGTTGATCCTGACAGTAGTGTTGTCTCCAACATCATCAGGACTTGCATATATCCTGATAAATGAATTGTTGTAATGTTGAAATGTCACTTTATATGTATCATAATAAGACTTTAGTTATAATATCTGAACTATTGACTGTGGTATAAACACCACTCACTTCGTCCCTTTCAACATGGATGCTACACATGGTAAGAGAGAAAGTATGCGGGGAAGTATAGTTTTAGGTGCTTTTTGCAATATCGCAACAGGGAAGGGACACCAGAAATGGGTTGAGAGGATTGTATTTTTGTTGAGTATCAAACCCAAGTCTTCGCTGTACCCCACTGCCCCTATATTAAGTAAGATCGCATTCTTATTATCCCCCGCAACGCATTTTGCGGGGGTTTAAATGGGGTATTAAAATGGACTCGTCAGAACTCTGCGTTAAATATTAGTAGTTTTGGAATCTGAATAAAATCCGTTTGGCATTTCCAAGGCACATTTGTCTTTTCCGGAGCAGAACTCTAAAACCGTTCAATATTTCTTCACCAAACTTGGCACATACATAGATCTGGTGGTGTACTTTTGGTAGTTTTGGATTTCTGTATGAAATATGTTTGGCATTTCCAAGGCAACAAGTTTGACTTAGACTGAAATTGGTGATAGTGCTCCTTTCTGGAGCAGAACTTTTAAAATACTCTCCTTCCACTTTTCTATATACACACCTAAATATTTGACATAATCATAACTCGTAGACATAATCATGAAGAGTATTTTGCCATTTCGGGGGATATTGATGACTTTGTCTTGGGAATGCTCTGTTTCGCTAGACCCAGATTACTGTACAGATTCAGTTCCTTGGTTGTTGCATCATTGGAACCACAGAGATTTGAATGATGGTATCTGTTTTAGATATTACGGCTGAGTGCGCGATATGATGCGGACTTAGACTCCATGGTGTTCATGAACGGGGTGACGTTAAATAAGGATCAGCTACAGCAAGGAGGGTTTGGCAATCTCACGGGAACCATCTTCAGCTTTGCTGCTTCCCTTAAAGCTATGAGTACAGACGAAACGGAGTTCGCAATCCTGTCGGCCATATGCTTGATCAGCGGAGGTAAGTCAACACTTTGAAGACTGTTGTTTCATGAAAATTAGAAAATGTGTGCAGAGTTCGGGATGGAAATGATATCTGAATCCACACTTAAAATTGATCTGCAGTTTATGTCAGAATGTGTTTTCTTTTACCAATTTCTGAATTATTACATAGGCATAATGTAAGTATACTATAAGAACGAAAGTGGTGCTGTGTCTGTCTAACCATATTTATGGATTATCTACCACTGTCATGTTCATCATTTGAAAACTAGAATTTCGGGGATTACAGTTTGAAACCGCTATAGCGGTGTACATGGAAGTTTATAAAATGCAATTAACCAATAAGAATTTTTCACATAAAGAATCATAAGCCATAAGACCTCATTCAGAGTCACTAACCCTAATTGTGCAGTGGATAGAGAATCTAAAGAGCTGCATGATACCAACACATGTTAAGGATGGTCCTTGCTGTTACCTTGCCTGAATTTCAGCATTGAAGGGAAGAAACAATTTTGACTTGAGGCATGTTGGACAAGCTGTTAAAAAAAAACTTAAGTCCAGTTGCTAGCCATGCTATTTAAGAACAATCATTTTTATATGTGCAAAGTTAAAACCCAAGTTACATTTTACTTCCACCTGTATGGATGTACAAAGGTGGCACAGTGGGTGAGGGTGGCTTGGAAGATTTGCATTGCTTGAAATTTCATCCCCCCAGAAGCTGATAGAGAGGGCCTCTATTGTGGGATTGTTAATTCACTAAATTTTGACCAATGGGACTCGAGAATCCCTGCTCAGATGCGATGTTTTGGAATGATGTTATAATTTCCTCTCTGTTTTTCAGATCGCTCAGGGTTACAAGATACAGAGAAAATTGAGCAAATGCAGGAGCCATTACTGGAGGCATTAAAGCATTATACTCGCTCTCGGAGGCAGGAACAGCCGCATATATTCGCCAAACTTCTCATGAAACTAACTGATCTCCGGAGTATAAGCGTCAAAGGTAAGACCTCGTTTCCGTCCCACTATATACACCACCATCATTGTACGCTGGGGCTTGACCATAACCTGACTTATTGGATATCACAGAAGAAAGGAAAGTCTTATCATCTCTGATGATATATAACAGTGTTATGGACATGTTTATTCATATCAGATTCTCCATACAGTGTTTCTTTTTCAATTTTGTAATGCTCTTTAGACCTGACGTTTTCAAAAATCTCGAAAGAAATGAAATCAGAAATTGTCCATAACATTTTTTTCCATTTTTTTGTTTAACATGTTCAAAATGTTAGTTCTTTCCTAATATCCGATAAATCAATGCTTGTAACATTGCATATTAAATCCCCATATATATGCTTTGCCGACTTTTAGTGCTAATTTTAGTTTTGCATTTTGTTTGCACATTATCAGTGAGTGTAGCGGATGATGAGGTTTCAGCTTGATTTGCTAGTATATTTCGTTGCTGCATTTGATTGTGTACGTAGATTCTTGCCAATCCAATTTCATTTGCTCATTTAGGTTCAGCAGTCATGTACCATCACATGCACATCTAAATTTAGTAAAAGAAAAACTTTATTTACAGAGACTTCTTCAAATGTTAAAATAGTTTTAAGAAAATAATTTACCAGTTTGGAAACTGAGAGAAAACAACATTTAATTATATGCATTTCAAGCATAATGTTTTTGTAATGTTATCATGCCTTCAGCTTATCTAAATGTCCAGGATCAAAAGGGTAAAAACAGCTTTTGTGAGAGTGTGAACAGTATTAGTGAGAGCATCAACAGTATTACTAAGTGCACTAACAGTTTTAGTAAAAGAAGTAATAAGAGTATTAACAGGATTTGTAAGAATATGCAGGATTTGTAAGAACATATACAGTGTATGAGTAAAACATGTTATTTGAGTATAAACAAGATTAGTAGGAGTATAAACAAGATTAGTAGGAGTATAAACAAGATTAGTAGGAGTATAAACAGCATTAGTAGAGGCTTCCTGCTTACTCATGTCCAGGATTAGTAAGGGTATAAACTGGAATAGGAAAAATGTTGACAGGAATAGTAAGAGCATAGATGCTATTTGTAAGAAAATTACTTAATGGTTATAAGCAGAATCAATAAGAGTTCCAACAGAGGATTAGTAAGAGTATATACTTATACAGAGGATTAGGAAGAGTATAGAGATTATAGCATAGGATTTGTAGGATACATACAGAGGATTAGTAAGAGTATACACAGAGATTTATACACATACAGAGGATTAGTAAAGAGGTATATACAGAGGATTAGTAAGAGTATACACAGAGGGATTAGTAAGAGTATACACAGAGGATTAGTAGAGTATACACAGAGGATTAGTAAGAGTATACACAGTACATAAAGGATTAGTTAGTAGGAGTACATACAGAGGATTAGTAAGAGTATATACAGGATTAGTAAGGAGTACATAGAGATTAGTAAGGATTAGTAAGAGTATATACAGAGGATTAGTAAGAGTATACACAGAGGATTAGTAAGAGTATATACAGAGGATTAGTAAGAGTATACACAGGATTAGTAAGAGTACATACAGAGGATTAGTAGTATATATTAGTAAGGTATATACAGAGGATTAGTAAGAGCATACAGAATAGTAAGAGTATATACAGAGGATTAGAGTAGTACATACAGAGGATTAGTAAGAGTACATACAGAGGATTAGTAAGAGTATATACAGAGGATTAGTAAGAGTATATACAGAGGTTAGTAAGAGTATATACAGAGGATTAGTAAGAGTATACACAGGAGTAGAGTACATACAGAGTTAGTAAGGTACAGAGGATTAGTAAGAGTATATACAGAGGGATTAGTAAGAGTATATACAGAGGATTAGTAAGGTATATACAGAGGATTAGTAAGAGTATATACAGAGGATTTAGGTACAGATTAGTAAGGTACATACAGAGGATTAGTAAGAGTATATACAGAGGATTAGTAAGAGTACATACAGAGGATTAGTAAGAGTATATACAGGTTAGTAAGAGTACATACAGGATTAGTAAGAGTACATACAGAGGATTAGTAGTACAGAGTAGTATACAGAGTAGAGGTATACACAGGATTTGTAGGAGTACATACAGAGGATTAGGAGTATATACAGAGGATTAGTAAGAGTATATACAGAGGATTAGTAAGAGTATATACGGGATTAGTAAGAGTATATACAGAGGATTAGTAAGAGTACATACAGAGGATTAGTAAGAGTATATACAGGATTAGTAAGAGTACATACAGAGGATTAGTAAGAGTATATACAGGATTAGTAAGAGTATACAGAGGATTAGTAAGAGTACATACAGAGGATTAGTAAGAGTACATACAGAGGATTAGTAAGAGTATATACAGGATTAGTAAGAGTATATACAGAGGATTAGTAAGAGTGTATACAGAGGATTAGTAAGAGTACATACAGAGGATTAGTAAGAGTATATACAGGATTAGTAAGAGTACATACAGAGGATTAGTAAGAGTATATACAGGATTAGTAAGAGTATATAGAGGATTAGTAAGAGTGTATACAGAGGATGAGTAAGAGTACATAGAGGATTAGTAAGAGTATATACAGGATTAGTAAGGTATATACAGAGTATTAGTAAGAGTGTATACAGAGGATTAGTAAGAGTGTATACAGAGGATGAGTAAGAGTACATACAGAGGATTAGTAAGAGTATATACAGGATTAGTAAGAGTATATACAGAGGATTAGTAAGAGTGTATACAGAGGATTAGTAAGAGTGTATACAGAGGATCAGTAAGAGTATATACGGGATTAGTAAGAGTATATACAGGATTAGTAAGAGTATATACAGGATTAGTAAGAGTATATACAGGATTAGGAAGTATGAACTTGATGAGTGTTATCATATACAAGATTAGTAAGAATTGATACAGCATAAGTAATAACATAAACACTGTAAGAGCATCAACAGGATTCTTAAGAGTTAAAACAGTAGTAATAACTTTGTATACAGGATTAGTAAGATTAGTATACATGATCGGTATTTGAACAGTATTTTTAAGTGTAAGGTATAGACAGTATGGGTAAGACTAAATGAAGGATAATTAGGAATAAAGGCATTTCTTTCTCCTATTTTATAGTGTTTGAAAGTTGTTGTAATATTCTCACTATCCATTAAGGTGGTTTGAACTCGGTTAAACATCTTGGACAATAAATATGTTGCTGGATGTAAACAGTCACTACTAATTTAAATGTTAACACAGAAATTAATCAAATTCTTTATTAAATTTAGATGTGCAAAGGACATTTGGTTTGCTCGCTTTGAGCATAATGTCTGGCTTTCGCTTCCTACCCTCATTTTCTCCATCTTCCTATGCTCTAGGTGAAAAGCAGACACTTCGTTTCGCGCTAGACCACTTGGCTAATGCCCTCTCTCTCCTGGAGGCACCTGCCTCTAGCCAGCCCATTATCAAGAAAGAACCCCTCTCAGATGATGAACCCAGCTCCAGTAGAAAACCTTCATCCACCTCATACATGCGGAATAATGTTGGAGGCAAAAACGTGCCTCAGTATCAAGGGACTGTACACACAAACATTAACCTTATGGCCATGAACCCCAGCAACGTAATGTCACCTGAGTTCATGGGGTCAAGGTTACCGTCCCCTCGAATGGGACCGCTGCCTGATTCATCCATTCCGTCACCCCTTGGGATGGGGATGTCGCCGAAGCAGCTGAGTCCGAATCAAACTGTGCCTGCAGCAGGGATGGGATCGATGGGCACGCCCTCCCCACCCTTCCCCACCATCACGTCCCCCAATATGCCTAACTACCTAACTGGTCTGTCGCCAACTCTGTCTCCTAACATCTCCTTCTCATCATCTTCATACATTAGCTCCATGATGTCGTCGCCGGTCGCCTCCAACAACGTCTCATCAAGTGTGGATGAAAACATAATGTCCAGCATCCATGACTCTATTTCCGACGGGATGCAGTCCCTTGTGCCAAATATGGAAAATCAGCAGTTTGGTTTGACGCAAAACCTCAACAGGGCGCAAATTGATGAGATATTACGTAGCAGTCACATGTTAGGGCAGCAAGCAGGAAACGATATCACAGACTTGGAGACAATGAAACATTCTTACAACCCGGGCAGAAGCAATACCAATAACAATGCCAACAGTAACGGAATTCTGTCAACAGGGTTATACAGAAGTGAAGTAAATGGAACTCAGCTTGTTTTGAATGATGTGGGCCCAAACACAGACCATCATGCTCCTCTCAGCAAAATTATTGCTGGAGCTATGACAGATTCCATGCAAATTTGAATGAAATGTAGCCTGAAGTCATGAGGCAGGAAAAGTCCTTCACTGTCTAATATCGAAAATGATAAACGGTATACAGAATGCTTGTGAAAACGATCCTATTTACCATATACATATTTTGATAGATTTGGAGTATTATGTTATGTTACTTGACCTTTGAAATCTTGCAATGAAGATGTGAAGGTTGATGTTGTGGAGGACTGAGATTTGATGGAGACAGAGTTCGGGGCCTCCAGAAAGGGAGAGGGCTGTTGGTTTCGTGATCATTTCTTCCGCTTCTCATTCAAGGGGAGATAAATCTTGGACTTACATGAATTGAATCTCAAGTATTTGATTCTTAAATTATCTTCGGAATTTTCTTTCTCGATCCTGAAGATTGTTATTAAATTTCTTTTGTTTATTTTATACTGTTTATTTTCATGTTGTGAACTGTTTGTTTATTTCTCACCTGGAAGCATTTTAAAAGACATTGCTATTATCACACAGTGCGCAGCATTAGGAAATGTATTTTGATCATGCGAGCTTTTGCACTTAGTTGTCTGCTTTTCTGCCATGCTTGGCTTGTTTATCTGTTGACTGGTGATCAGCTTGTAGCAACTAGGCAGGTATGTTCACCATGATGTGAGGTAGAATTGCTTTTTGTTCACACTGCAAAATGATAATTTACACCAGGTGACATCACAATTCTAGTGCTCATCAGCCATTTTCAGCTTTGTTGTTGTATGTTGTATTGTTTATGCCAGTTATAATTTTACTATATATTTGTATTTATTGCATAACATGGAAACACCGACCCATGAAATAGAATTTCTTTTCAACATCATGCAAGGGAATAAGAACCATTTTTCTATTACTGTTTTATTGGGGAATAGATTCATCAAAACAGGGCTATGTAACATTTTTTCTAAATTTTCCTTCCATTAGACTGGAATAAATTAACTGGAATAAATGATTGCAATGCATTGCATAAATCATTTCATTATTTCATATTTGATATAATCCTTATTCTTGTTTCAATATATACTGCTGACATGAAAACTTCCACATTCATGCTTGTGAGTGGGAAATTCTGAACATGGTGGGGAAATTTATGATCAAGGGGAGGTAATTCAATTCTGGGTTCAATTCTACTTCCCTTTGTGACAAACTCAACAGAAGTGGCCTTACCTACACATGAACAGGGCTCCAGATAAAGGCCGTATCGGCGTATGTACGGATAAAAAATATGCACAATATGGTAGGAAATAATTTAGAAAACGTAGCAGATACGCACCACAGCAATGGTGTACGGTCTTAGAATCATTTACAGACATATTTATCTGAAAAAAAGTATTGTTTCATTGTTTATTGACCTGTTTACACAAGAGTAGCAATGTTGTGGTGCATAGATGAAATGAAACACAAGAATACTGATAGTCCATTAGTTTCCATTCAGTACTTTAAATGTACACTTAAGGTTTTCCAGTACTCAATATTGAACAAATAAGGAGTACATACTCCTGATGTTGAAAAATTATCTGGAGCCCTGCATGAACTAAATAACAACTTGCTTTTATGACCTCTTAGGACTAAAAACTTATCAGATCACAAGTTAATAATCTTATTACATTATTATATTTATTGTAGTGCATAGAAAGACTGTTCTTCCAGGATTTGCTAGCTTAACCAGAACAGATTTTACAAATCTTCAACAATTCTAAAGTGCTAATATAACTGACCTAGTGTAGTCTCAGAGTTTAGTTTGCATATGGTGAACATGCCTGCCCAGTTTTAGAAATCTACAAACAGAGTGGACTGACTGACTGCTGGTGTAAGAACACTATTATTTCCAAGCTTTCTGTGCAGTGAATGTATTGTAAAACAATACAGTCAGTTATAGCTTTTAGCAGATTATCAAGCCCACGATTCATAACACCTCACAATACCTTTGTGAAGGTATGGACACAAATCTGAATATCACAATATTTGACAGAATCTCAGCTTCTTACTTAAGAACTTATATTAAGTATGCCAACAGTAGGAATACTCTTTGTAAGTATTCATGGTACAAGGTTCGAATTTAATTTTTGACAAGCCAAAAGCTATTTGTGGGTTAATGTCATACTGAGCGAGCCAAACTGAGACAGTCATCAGATAATGACAATGAGTGTCTAAGCCTATGCTGCAATGCACAGTACAGAGTTGCTTCCCTTAGCTGTACCAAGATCCAATAATCACTGGCTTGAACCCATGGATCACCCCAGTCATCATAACTGTGTTACTGTTTGTAGGGTTGTATGCATTACACATGCCAGAAAAACCTATGATCATACATTTTAAAGCCCATGTTCACCAAGAGTATGTTTTTGGTTTGGCCAACACAACAAGTTTGACCAAGGATATACATGTCTTAGAAATATCAGTTGGAGCTTGCCTCCTGCATTACACCAACATACAGGGATATGAATAAAAAACAACTCTCAATAGTGTTACGTCTCAGTCACTCATTCACTCTCTCTCTCGAAGATCAGTGCTGTTGGATGCATTGCCCATCAGCTACTGACCTTCTGCCCGATAGTAACTACTTTGAGGGAATGTAAGGGTCCATTAAATTCGAACCTTGTGGTGTATTACCGGTGTGGAGACTTGTCAGCTTGTTTATGATTTATTTTTAAGAAAGATATGTTATAGTTGTTAATTTAGAGAAAGTGTTTTAGCATTATGTAGATGTTGTGTATATATAGCCTTTGTTTTAGCTTATATGTGTGTACTACTATCAGATGATTCTGTTTGGATTGGTTATCTTTCATTCACTAATGTTTCTAACAAAACAAACTCATTCATCCAGAACCAAATTTACATGTTAACCTTTATGTTGAAATTCTTGAGAGGCATTTAGAAGTTGATGAATATATAAGACGAGTATATGGATGACAACTTCTTCTTTATTGTGTAACACGACGCTTCTGGGCTACTTCTTCCCTTTTCTTCAGGTGATATCAAACCTTTATGTTGAAGTCGTGTTTTAATGATACCGGTTTATCGGAGGCAGTACTCCAGAAATATATCTTATGTGTACATGTTTATACACAGTATACTTATATGATTATTATGTTTAGTTAAACTTGTATATCTAGCTAAATAAAAATTGGATATCAGACGAACATTCGTCTTCAGAATCTTTTGTGGAGTTACATTTTATGAGAGGTTTGTGACTGTTGCTAGTATCGGTGGTGAAACATATTAGAAACTATTTATATCCACCAAAGTTTAGCCCCTTGTGGTTTGTGTAGTTTCTGCAAGCACACACTATATTCACTTTAAAGAAAAACAAATTGTGAGAGGAATGTTTTCATTTGAGTGATACTTAATATCACTTATAAAATTCATTGTCATTATATAGGTTAATGAATTCATTAGTTCAAACTGGATTTCCACTCCACTATTCTTGATATGTGTAAGTACAACCCAGACTTCCTTATAGTAACAAGGGGCTGTGGGGTAGCCTAGTGGTTAAGCGTTGGCTCGTCACATGGTTACAATGTGTGAAGCCCATTTCTGGTGTCCCCTGCCGTGATGTTGCTGGAATATTGCTAAAAGCTAAAAACTCAGTCAGTCAGTTATAGTAACAAACTCTTACATAGTGTCTCTAGGAAGGTGAGATTTGTTCCCGCAAACACTGGAATAATTTTGGATTGATTAGAAGAAGAAAAAGCATAATGAAATAATTTATTTTGGTTTTCCTTTAAAAATAATGGTCTCTAGTTACATAGTGATAAAATTGCATATCAATATCACTTATGTTTATGCATTATATGTTCAATTTTCATGTTTGGTTTTTCAGGTGCTGAACGGGTATTACATTTACGACTAGAGATGCCAGGAGAATTGCCTCCCTTGATATTAGAAATGTTAGACAGAGCTGAGAATGTGTGTATTCCTTGACTAAGGCTTAACTGCTTAGTTTGAATTACAGTTTGATGATACATATTGGCCAGCTCTTTCAAAAAGAGGTCACATTGCCATACAGAATCATGAACATTTAATATGTGATCATTTCTTTCCAAGAAAGACAATAGTGAGTAAGACAACCACAAGGGAGGTAACTCTTGGGAGAATGGAATGAAGGGAGATAACTCTCCCCTCATACTTGAAAACAGTTTCTTTGGCTACATCCAGATGTGTTCAAGTGAACGGAGGAGGAAAAAAAGTCACAAATCAAAGGGAAGCAACTCCTTACTGGATGCAAACAACAAACTGACAACCAAAGTGTTATGACAGCAAATGAGTGATATATTACTGAGAAAAATGTTTGTTACCTGTCATATCAAGGGAGGTAACTCCAATGACACATAACTCGAGTGATTTGCTGCTGGTGATGAGAAGATACCTGGTGATGAGAGTTGAAGAGGAAGTCATGTTTTCATGAGATTAGTTTGTGTCTAGCTGGTAAACCAGTGACATCAATGCCATGTGCTTTGGTTTTACCCAGTTTTGTTCCAGTTTGACAAAAGATTACAGGTCAGTGAAGTTAGCTCAGGTCCAATGCCCAAAGCTCTAAAGTTCATAGGAAACAATATTTGTCTGTATATTTTACAGCAAAATTATTCGACTCAAAGTCATTATATGCCATGGCACTAGTTCCTGGTATTTCTTCATATTATTCTCTTTTGAATACTGGAAGATAGACATGTGTTTAACATGCAAATTGGAACTCCAGCTTCCTTACTTAGACCATGAGCATGGCTGTAGGCTGAGGGTTGATCACTACCTAGTTTATTCCTCTGAAACATACTTTTATTATTGGTTTTTGTTTCAATTTTATTTGACTCACAAAAAGTAGGATTATAAATAAGTTGTCCATTGTTAAGCTAACACAGAGATCTATGTCAGATTATGAATGAAAGTGCCAGAGGCTGGTAAATTTTTAAGATAAAGAGATTATTTGGACAAAATTGGGATTTTTATAAGCCTTTGTATTTTAGAATATTCAGCTAAGTGGGGAAAGTTTTAATAAAAGTTTTGAAAGTTTACTGTCATTTGCTGCAGTCTTGGTGACCATCAGCCTCTGATCTTGTCCAGATATATTCAAATATTGCAAACGGGGCTCCTTCAAATATTGCAAATAGAAAACAACTCTTCTTATCAGATTATTGGTCATAAAAACATTGGTGAAAAGAAATTCAGATGAAATGTTATTGTTAAGGAATCAGAAGGATATGAATGTGTACAACAATGTTGACTCTGGTTTACAGATGTTTGATATTTTTCATGTTTTTTTGGTATTAGGGAGAAGAGAAATGTAAACATATACGTAATTATTTATAGAGAGTTTGTATTGGATTGCTTATATGAATGACCTGGTTCTCAACTCCCAGAACACACATTGAAGAATTCCATTGACAACTCCTGATAAAAGTCATTGAACTCCATTGCAGTGGATGGATTATGGTACATATCATAATGAATTGAGATATGAGTTTCATTATAACTTTAACACCAAACAATTCGTAACTTTGAGAAAACCAATGTAAGATCAGTCAGTGTTTTTAGAATTGTAGTTGAGTACTGGATTTAGGATTATTTAAATTTTTAAATTTTATGAATTTTACTTCTTAAAAAAATTAAAAGCCTTAAAGTGCTAAATTCTGACAAAGGATTGACATGGATTTGCTTTTGTTCTGAGAAGAAAGGTTCCAATGTTTCCCAGCTATCTCCGGGTTTATGTCAGCTTGTGCTGATCTGGTCCAGCAGACCGTACTCTGTATGGGGATGTAGATGCTGATGGTAGTTAATCACCTGCACGCAGATCATTTACACCTTCATTGTAAGGCATGTTGAAAAATGGTTCAATTAAAAAATATCTTCAGTGACCATATGAATAAATGATAAACAGACATACAGTTTGAAGAAATGATGAAATATGATGAAATGTCTTTATACATGTACTTAGAAAATTAGATAAATATTCATATTCCAGGGGAAAATCAAATTTTAAAAAGCTTAAAATGATAATTTGGGTGCTTATTTTTTTAATGTACAGTGATTTGGATGTCTTTAGGTTTGCTATTTTTTGTCAGTTGTCTTACTTATATCTATTTTTCTTCCACCATCATGTTCCATGACCAAGTAGGGCATTTTTCAAGAAAATGGTTTGTTATAAGTTTGATATTTCATTTTCTTATGTTCATCACAATCAGGAAGATTACCATTTTAAATCAACCATAATCAA